TGACAGAATTAAGCATCTCATGCATGCTGATCTCATTAAGAGAAACCCTAGCTCACTTGTTTCCTTCTACCTATAATATCTTATAAGTCAGTCCATTTATGTTTTAAGTTTGTAAATTTAACCACTTCTTAATACAATAATATTGGGCCTAAAAGACTTTTTATAATAAAAACTTTTTATAATAAACCTAGCTTTCTTGATATTTTCATATTTTTCTTGGGGATGAATGATTATTACAGTTCTTAGGGTATATCTATATGCAGTAACATGCCAATCAGTGTAGCTAAGTTAATTATAATACCAGAAATTCACAGATTAAAAATAGTAGATTGATTTTTAGCTTAATTTGCCATTAGACAGAACTAGCTTATCACTGAATGTTAAGGCAGCCAAAGAAAATGACATAGCATCTTTGGAATACATAGATTCTTTCTTTAGCAGCCTTTAAAGAAGGTCAGTTAGTCCCTGATGAACACTTTAGTGGTGATAGTTGAGGCAAATCATCCCAAAGTCTTTCTTGTGTTGAAAATAATCTGTCCCCTACTCCTCATTCCAATCTTTGAAACAACTCAGACTTGGGATGCTCCCTCTTCCAGTACTTCATATAGAGTATTTAAATGCAAATATAAGTTATTTTCACTCCAGGCAAAAGTACTTCTAAGTACATGTGCTCCAGACCCCTTACACTTCTGAATGTACAATTCTGGAAATACTAGTTTGTTAATGTTCTTCTTGACAAAGTGCCATGTGTGCCCTACATGTGCATGGTCCCTTGGGTGAGTTCTGAGTGGCACAGATCTCAGTAGAATAAAATCTAACCCCATAATGGTCCTCATTAGCATTAGACTGCCTCTGTCTTTTAGAGGAGTCATGGCCTACTACTGGCTCATACAGAGCTATTACTCAATTTAAAAACACTAATTTTCAAATGAATTGCTTTTAATGAGGTTTTCACATACTTACATAATTGATTTTAACCTAATGTACAACTTTTTATTTCAATATTGTGTTAGTTTGCATCTAGCATTCCAACATACTAAAAGATGTTTTTAGAAGCTACTTCTGTCAATCAACTTTGTTGGTGAATCAACTTCTTCAAAGAAATGGTAGCAACAGAAAGCAATTAGGATATTAGCCATGATTTATTTTTATTATACCCACAGTCAGTCCAAATAATTCATGTTTTCTAGGGACTTGTTTATATGAAAATATTGTGTTTCCCAGTGTTGTAGTAAATAAATGATGAACTCATTCCATTTCAAAGATAGACAAGAGGGAGAATGAGGGAAAAAATGGAAAAATTAGGAGTTGCATACATATTTATACAGATATTAACATACGAATATCATCCCTAAACATTGATCTTCCTTTGCTTATTTCTTTGTTTATTCTCTGAATATATTTTAAAAATTTATCTTTTTGTCTTTTTAACTATATTCTCCCAATTTTTACACATTTTTAGTATATAGACCCCATCCATGTTAATAGTTTAATATTTTGATACCTTTTAAGTTTTATAGCTATATGGATTTAAATATTACCTCAAATTCTAAATATCAGGTGATTTTTTACTTTTGAGGAGTACCTACCTTGTAACCGACTGGAAGGTCCTGGCAATCTTGAGAACATCCACTGACTTTCTTACTCAAACATTCATTTATATGGCAGTTGCTCTCATCTGAACCATCGCCACAGTCATCCTTATTGTCACAAAGATGTCCACTGGAAATGCACCTGCCATTTTTGCACATAAAAAATGAACTGTTGCATGACTGTTCTGGAAAAAGAAAATAAAACAAATTGAACATAAAGGGCATGCCATTGTTTTACACTGCAATTGTTAAAAACATTCGTAAATGTGGTAACATGCCTATCAAAAAATTATAACAAACACACACACACACACATATATATATATAATGCTTTACGTATTCAGTGTAATATTTTATACAGAGTACAGAAAACCAAGGAAAAATTTTACTTTCATTTCAATATTTTCTGTAAATTTACCTTTACCATAAAAATTAACAATCAAAATAAATATCTGTAGGAATATTAATGAAGTATTTCTGCTTTATTTGCAGAATGAATTCAAAAGTGTAATAATAGTTTGACATTTCCCAAGCCCTAGGTCTCTGAGAAATTATATGTCACTAAAAATTAAAAAACTAGAATAAGCATATATTTCTAAAATATTTTCTTCCTGGAACCATAACATTGACATTTTGAAGTTAGGGCATAAAAAGGATATTTGTCATGAATAATAGTTGTTCCAAATATACCTACGGAAAGAGGTCAGGTCTACACATAACTGAATATCTTGAACATTACTCATTATCACACATGGTAAAATTAAAGCTATTAACATGTAAGCTTCATTAGAAAAAAGTAATTAGGTATGTTCTAAAAAATGTAACTATATGTTCCATATTTAAAATAGTGAGGTGGTATACTGACCAAGTTTGTCTATGTGTGTGTGTGTAGATACACACATATGCTCCAATGACATGCAATTTATTTCTTTTTGCCAAGTATAAATGAGACAGGCTATTTAAAAATAAATTTTAACTTTTATGTTTGAATGCTCAAACAGGCATATACAGTGAAATTATCTTCATATAAGATATTATATTAAGAAAAAAAACAAAGAACTAAAAAGCCAAAAAAAGAACAAAGGGGCTTTTGGTGGTGGGGAGAGCAGGGCAGTGAATTTGGCAGGACCGTTGTCTAGCCCTACGACACAACTGATTAGGAGGATCCTACATTATCAGGAGTGAGCCATGACAATGCTATGGGTTACCTTCCAGTGGCTTCGTGGGGTGAGAGGATGTAGAATGAAATATAAGAGATAAGAGACACAAAAGGGAAGTTTCAGAGTAGCTGGGATAGGGAGGCTGTAGCCCTTCCTCCTGAGGCTTCCAGCTTGCAGCCCCGAGTTCCAGGCTAGCTCTGTTTATGTTTTATACTGCAGTGTTTCAATCACAAATCTCATGAGGGCAAGGCAAACAATCCTGCCATAGTTCTTCCCGTACTTGCATTTCTCTAACTAAACTATTTCTTTAAATAACTACATTAATTGTAGGGATTTACTAGTTACTTTTACAGCTTTAAGGTATTTATGATCTAAACAAACAGATTATGGAACAGTGAAAACAGTCTAGAAGCAGGAAGTTAGAGAAGACTCCAATTAGGCCACACACACAGATCACAAATGTGTTCACTAACACTCAGAAAGCCTATGTCCGGATGGACAGACTCCTCTGGCCATACCAAGGTGACAGAAGAAAAGAGATATTTTATTTCCTTATCTGGTCTGGAGTAATTCTTGTGTTCAACAAAGTTTAAACATTTTACATTTTCCAACTCTCTAAAACTACTCTCCCAGAGCAAGCAGCCCCACCTGAGTAGAAAACCTCTGTGTCTCCCAGCAGAGGTAGGGGGAGGTGGAGCGGGAGGAGGAATTCCAGCAAGACAGCTTTTGGAGTTTTAAAGGGACAGGCCTTCAGCAGCACTTTACTGAAATTATGGTTTTCCCAAATCACTTTTCTCCTATTTGTTTTTCTTTGTCTATCCTCTGTAATCATATTCCTAATTTAATTCCTAATCTATTTTTAATTAATAATTGAATGTTGGTTTTAAGCTTATAAAAATCATTATTGCCAATAATACAAGCACATCAAGATATGACTCTTCCATTAACCCTCCCACAAACACTGCATGGTATCATTAGAAGCATCATATGCTTAATAATGTACATTTCCTTTCATTGAATACTAGCAAAATAATTTAGTTACAGTTTTACCATTAAAAAAGAACTTTGGAATAAAGTTTATAATGTTATCTATATTTTTGTACCTGCTGTTTTACACTTTGGATTTAAAGGTGCTTCATCAGAATGGTCAGGGCAGTCAAAATCTCCATCACATTGCCACTGAGTATTTAGAACACATCGTCCATCAGCACAACTAAATTCTTCTGCACCACAAGGTCGGTATCCTAGAGAAAATACATAAACTTTGTGATTAATTCACATAAAACATGTTCATTAAAAACACATCCCCTTAATATACACTTCAGTTAATGTTGGTTACACATGCCTCCTTTGAGAAATGCTTCTCATTTCTTTCTATGACTGATCACAATGGCAAGAGATATTAGTGATTTGGAAGTAAGACAGACCCAGCAAATAAAGTCAGAACAAAGGCATTCTAATTGTTTCTAGATGAGAGAATAAGAAAGCAACACTTGGTATACCATCTCTCTTTAACTTTATATATCCCAGTGATTTTTCTTAGAATGGAGAACAAAATGAAAGTTAATAGAATTAATTTGGTTTGGCATAGAATCAAAACATATGGATGAACAAATTCTAAGCTATAATGATAATTCTCAAAAGCTATACTGTCATATTTATATTTGGGAAGCAACAGTCAACATGCAAAGAAACTGTTAAACTAAAAATATATGAAAGTCAAGTTTTAGAGCAATAAGCACAAAAACTATCACAATGATCCTATATATTGATTGCTAGTCACTAAACATTTTATTTGAATTACATAATGAACCTACCATTTGTTAATTTGTTAACAATTAACAAATTTGTTAATTTTCATCCATGTTTATTTGTAAATAAAACTCATTTGATTTTTCAATATTAGGTTTTAGAATGGATTTTTTTCTAAGTTTGTCAACAATTAAAAGTTATTCCTATTAGAACTTTCTGATAAATCTGGGCAAATGTTCTGTTTTGCGAGGGAGAGTGTAAGACTTTCATGCCTTAGAAAATAAAGTTTTAATGTAAAAAGTAATTTAATAATGGGTATCTAATTAAAATTCTTATTATATAGGAATGGTAAAAAAATGAGATCTAAAATATCCCATTTCCTTAATATCTTTTCCCACTCTCTCTTCTTTCACCAACTCCTCCTCAGTCAATAAATACATCAACCCAGATGAATAACAAGGAAAATCCACTTACATACATCTGAACAGTACATTTCTCCTCCTCCCTGTACTTCCCAGTCTTGCTTCCCCTTACTTACCTCCAGTTTATTTCTGGTCAACCAAAATTTCATTTATTCAACATATACCTTCTGAAATTCCTTTTAGAGATAACAAATACCGAGGGCTAAGTATCAAATTTAAAAATGTCTAAGATTTATTTTGTGTAACATTTGATGGTTTTGGCCACATTCTCTTAGAAATAGTTTCTTGGCTTAATATTCATAATCTACTCTCCTGGGCTTCTTCCCGATTTAGCTTTTGCTATTCTCTTCTTTTCCTCTTTCTGTGTAAAATCTTCTCCTGTTTCACCCTAAACTCTTACTGGTGAGGGCCTAGCTTCAAACTTCAGCCCCTTATTTTCCTCCTTTCCTTTCTACAGTGCCTGGGTGTTCTCATTCCTTAACTGTCACTTTTATACAGATGGCCACCAAATTAATATTACTTGTTCTTATAGTACTTCTAGTGTCTAGAACCAAATTTTAAAATACTCGCTATATACATGCACTTTATGTGATTGTCTG